GGACAAGATTTAGCCGATAAACCTAAACTTTAAAGAACTTTTCAGTGACTAACATACTGAGACTGAAGAAAAACCAAAGAAAAAATGCAGTAAAGGTAGTGTAGACGTAGATAAAGAAGTATTTTCTTGCCCAGTGATTTTTTTGGCCGGGAAAATGTTCACAAAATATCGACGAATATATCGCGAAGAGCTACAAATGTGTGTATGGCTCGGTGTATGGGATAAAAACCAAACGTACTTGCAGGTTCGGTGAGTCCGGGATTGGACGCACCTCGGGTGGCTGGAAGTTTCCCGAACTCACCTCGCTTCGCTCGGTAAGTTCGGGAAACTTCCAGCCACCCTCGGTGCGTCCAATCCCGGACTCACCTCCCTGCAAGTACGTTTGTTATAAAGTCACACGACTCGAGTCTATCAGTCTGCAACTCTGCTTGATAGTAAAAAAATGTCATAAAATATAAATTTTAAAATGAAATTGACTTGCCTATTTGATAGTGTTTGTTCTCCTTTTACTCCTCTTTTGTTGGACTAATATTTTCCAAGACTTCACACTCGATGGCACTAATGTACATACTATATCATATAACACACACTATCAAACAGGCAAGTCAATTTTATTTTATGACATTTATATTTTATGACATATTTTTAAACCGAGAAGGAGGTTGGGCCGCTTGTGGTTTATGTTGCCAACCTGGTGAGGCCCACCAAGGGGTTATGACCGACAGGCGACATTGCTTAAAAAGAGGTGACAGACTATCTAAAAAAGAGGGGTTTGTTGTTGTCGGAAAAAAGTTTTTTCCGGAAAAAATTTTGAAATAGGGGCCCCTAAAACAAAATTTGCCTCGGGCCCCGGCCAAGCTCTCGGCGGCCCTGATCACTGACTATTGGAAAAGGAATGTGGTTTATATAATAACTACAGTGAAACACGCAATTTGATTGGTCAATAGCCGTGTAGGAGCCTTCGCGGGATTCTCAAAATGTCATTGTTTCACTGTAGTTATTTTATAAAACAATTACCAAATGGTTTTCCAAGAGGATAGCGTGATCCATGCACTTGGGATGTTGCTCGACTTTCGGAAAGCGTAAATTTCCGAAAGTCTCGCGACATTCCTCGTGCATGGATCACGCAATCCTGCATGGAAACCATTCGGTATTCCTTTATTCTTGAAGACCCATGGGGATTAGTAAACACTGCTTAAGGTAGCTCCATACAGTTTCTTGAAAAGTGGAAAGAACACATTTCAGACCAAAATATTTTGTACATTGATATTTTTATAGAAGAATGAAACCAGATGTCTTGTATAGAACAGTATTTTGAGAATCAGAAACTGTAACGGTACATGTAGAATGTACAACATTTTTTGGTCTGAAATGTGTCTTCCACTTTTCAGGAAACTGTATGGAGCCACCTTATAATTATTGTCGTTCAACTCAATAATTTCAGCTCTAACGAAAGACAAAAGAAGTACCAGTGTCTTTCAGTCTTTCACTTTTTATTTCTAAACAGTGTACTGCTTAATAACACGTTCAATTTCCGCTCTACAAATGGGGCAACTAAATCCATTTCGCTGGAGGTCTTCAGCACATGTTGTACAGCAACACACATGACCCGTATCACCGTGAACAATCATTGCATCCTTGGGTCTCTCCAGACATACTACGCACTCCGCAGTAGAGCCATCTGGAGGTCCGGGACGGCCTTGACGCTGGTCATAAACGTCTGAAGTAGAGGTGACTGGCTTTCCTTTCTCTGTTCTTTGATCGCCCCCTCTAACTCCTGACGAACATGCGAAACAAATCGTAGTTTAGTAAAATTTTTAACATTTGGTGCTTCAGCGTCGCCCACGGTATAACATAAACAAATGTTGGTGTGTTGCGTCAGTTACCGGTACCACATCTTCACTGAGGCAGGCTGTAAGGACTAAGAATACTGTAAGCGAACTGCAAAATATCTGATCCTTAAAGTGGAAACAACTTAAACTATAGATAAACTTGACTTTGTGTCTAAGAATATTGCAAAATCCGCAAATTAACCTTAGTGACAATCGCATAATAGCTAAATGCGTGGAGGTAGCCCTGCAGGCCACATTATACATATATTGTCGGAGAAATAAGCCGTGAAATGACCCATAATTACTTAATTTCTATTAGCTACTATTGTTTGGAGTGCTCAGAAAATGGACCTGTTTCATTACAGAGAACTGTTTTCTTAATTTTAGATAATTAGAATATTGTTGTAACATACAGGGTGTCCAAAAAAAAAGTGACACTATAGAAATTATCCTATTGTTATAATTTGAATGCCCTAGCACTAAGTTGATCCCACAGGTGCATAAACTTCTGCTTCTGGAATTTAAAATAAAAAAGCGAACCGTTTATTAGTGTAATCGTTTTGCTTGACTCGGGCGTTAACATATTTGGACAAAGCGAAAACGTTTTAAAATGCGTAAAAATTATAATAGTGTTATGTTTCCATTATAGTGTTATTTAGTTTTGAATTATCCACGGATTTATAAACAGATTTTGAACAACCTAACCTAACGTTTTGGCCGCGAGGCAGCACTTCCTTGCGTTAGTAACTTCTAGACTTCCTTGCGTTAGTAACTTCTAGTATTATCAAATAGAGTCAAAATTAATGAAGTCGTAAGTTACAATCAGTGTACTGTAGCTTCAAAGTGCATATACTGTGTAGAGTTGGTTTAGAGTATATACTGTCATTCAGTTTTTGATCATTTGTGCATAATTTACGTAAATCATATACCATACCAACCCCTAAATGAGTCGCTTTTCTCTTAAGAAAATAAGAATCTATTTAAAAACCTGTCTAGCCTAATTTCCTGGTAAGCACCATTTACGTAAGAACCTGTTTAGGCTAACATGGAAAATCTAGGTTCTTATATGCGGGGTTTTACTGTTTTGCTAAGTTTAGCTTAAGTTTTATTTAATAGTCATTATTTATAATATGACAGTTACGTTATATGGGTGTGATTGTATGCTTGCCACTTTACCAGACTTCGTAGGAGATCGTGGGTTCGCAGCCTAGTCCCTAGGCCTCTTAGTTCGCCTATTGCGCGTTAAAAGCGTGCACAGAGGACTTGGGACTAGTCTGGTGGGTTCGTTTCTCTCGTTGCCCACTCATGTGAAAAGAGTCTGTCAACGCCTTGCCGAAAGTAGTGCACATGGGTTTTATCCGGGTACCCCGGTATCTAGCCTGCTCCTCTCTCCTCCGCAGAGCCTCCTTAAGTATTCACGAATAACTTACATGAAGTATCCTGAATAAAAGTGAGCGCCCGCGGTGTGATGGGAAAATTGAAATAAGTTGGGGAGGCTCTGCCAGATAATGCGACGAAGTATGGTTTTTGAACCAAACTAGTTGTTTGACCTTTTTTTAAACTTGAAATCGACGGAAATGTGAAAGAAATTGAAATGAATCTTCATAATCTGAGTATCGAAGTTCAATAGAGTCATTTTTATAAAGAAATGTTGCAATTAAGAGGATATTATAATCAGATATTCGTATCCATTGATATTCGTTTGCAATTTCTCAATATTTTTCTATGCAAATGGACAGAAGATGATATTGATATTGAATTCACCCCAGGATACTCAAGTACGCCTGAAAATGAAAGTCGAAAACATGTTTTAACACCCCCGATGGTTGATCGAACTTCGCTACAAACGATTATATACGACGCCAATATTGATTGCATTAACTCGCAGAGGCTTCCTTTATTTAACTCTTCCCATCACTCCTTGCGCGCTCACTTTTCCCTCACTAGAAACTTCATGTAAGCCTCTGCGGAGGACAGAGTAGCCTGCTCGCAGCCTGAAATTTAGAAGGGGAAAATCCCCCTTCTAAATTTCAGGCTGCGAGCAGGCTACCCGGTATCTTCCCACAGGGAAAGTTGACAGGGTTAGGATAAACATAGTAGACATGGTTAAGGAAGTAATATCACAATTGTTGTCGAGATAAAATAGTCTAGGCTAAGTATATAATTAAATACTTGATGCAAAGCGCACTTGATCATATAAAATTTGCGCTGTAGTCAGTGTACTCCTTATTCATCATATATTAAAACAAATATTTTATTGCACTCTAATTTAAGTTCGACAGCAAACTGTTATGAGTACAATGGTACTAAAGGCATGGCAAAATTGTGCAAAGTGCGATATTAAAGAAAACTAGGCCGCCGGCAAGAAATGTACCCTAGGAATTTGCCAGTCGGATTGGGGAGGTGCGAAATTACGGCTGGGCGAATTTTTGGAATTAACAGTCGAAAGGAACTAATAATTGATATAACTGGAAATTATTTATTGTGGAGTGGGGATTGATTCAGTAGTGCTACCTTGCCCCAGGGCCACCAAGCATGCAAAAACGTTTGTCTCTGATAATGTTAAATTACTAACCTGGCTAAATAAACCTTTTAGATTCCTAATTTTACCAAAGTGAAGCAACATGTGTGGCATTTGGGCAATATTTGGAACCTCCGAAGAATTACCATTCGTTGCATTAGCATGTCGTTGGCACAATTAGCACTTACATGTACTGTATTTACATGTACTGTACGGAATAGTGCCAGACGTTTTCCACACTATTTTAGGTTTATATTCTTATTTTTACTTGTCTCAGGGAAAAATGAAATTGCACCTCTACATACAATAATCTGTGAGTTGAAAAGGGCTAATGATATAATCTTCAACCGCACACTATAATAGTAATAAAGCAGCTTTTCGAACTGAATTTGTATTGATATAAACAACTATGTATATGATGTTTGTGACGTTACTCTGAGTGTATATGCATACCGGGCAAGCTTGAAAAATATGCCTGGCCACGGTGGGAATCGATTCCCATATTCCGTTTGAACGGAATATTCCAAAGGTCGTAGGTTCGATTCCCACCGTGGCCAGGCATATTCAGTAAGCTTGCCCGGTGTGGATATACACTCAGAGTAACATCACAAACATCATATTCATCTGAGTACATAACACCAACACAGGCCAAGTCCTAAACGCCGCATTTTACATGCGTCGAATCAAATACATATTCGAGTCGACTTGAATTGACATTTTTCAAATTTTAATTCAGACGTCGAATTTAATTGTCGAATTTAATTAATTTGCAAAGCCCGTCAAATGGCGCCAAATCCAAACTATATGGCGGATGAAGTTGTAAGAGAAAAAACTTTGCGTTTATGCCTATCAAACATCATTCATGCCAACAGAAAACGACGACTTTTAATGGATATGGCAGTAAATAACCTCTTGGCAAGGAGAAGGTAGAAGATGCATGGTGCTCCTTATTCGTCAAGTATAGTGCGTGGCACGCGCGTGCGAGTAAAACCCGATATTTTGAAAAATTCCAAATAAATATTTCTTCTCGCCGTATATTCAAACGAAATAGTATAGTAGTAGTATAGTAAAACTTTATTTAACCACGCTTCCCTCATCACCCATGGATGATTTTCATGAGGGGCGTCACACAAATTACATTCTAAAAACTAATATGAATTAAATATGAAATAGAATAACACAGAATAACAAATACGTAGATAAAAAAGTTAAAAAACCAAGACTATTCGATGCCTGACTCTGTTGCACACATTATTTTATCAAATTTTTGAAGCTACTTAAAGATTCTGTTTGGTTTGCCTGCCTAGGTAAACTATTCCATAAAACAGCCCCGCTATATCCAAAACTCTTTTTTAAATATTCAGTACGTGGTTTAGGAACTGAAAGATTTATATCAGCATTTCTGAGATTATAATTAGTACTAAGATTTATGTCCCTTGTTATATATTTATCCTTTAAGTTCGGAGCTGAGTGGTTGTTTAATATTTTAAACATCAGGGCCGATTTATTCATTTTATGTCTGTCGTTCAGATTTTTCCATGACATAGCATGGAGCAAATCTGTCGACCTGACATCATAATTGGTACCTGTCATAATTCTTGCCGCCCTATTTTGTAGTTTTTGTAATTTCTCTTTGAGCATGCTTCCACAATTATCCCATAAAGATGAACAATAGTCAAAATATGGGAGAACGAGAGAATTATATAAATTTTGTAGTGTTTCGGACGGTACAAACGGCTTTGCTCTTTTGATGATTCCAATACCGGAGCCAACTTTCCTACATATTGTGTCAATATGGTTTTCCCAGCTCATTTTTTCATCTAGTTCTACCCCAGACATGGAAAAGAGGAATAACGAGTAACCGGTTTATCATTTATCATAACCTGTTCATTACCAACTTTGTTTTTTAAGTTATAGGGTGATCCTATAAACATTGCTTTTGTCTTTTTTGTGTGAAGTTGTAATTTATTTCGAGAGAGCCATTTGACAATATTTTCTAAATCCTGATTAAGTTTGGTTACTAGTTCGGAGAAACTTGCGGAAGATGCATATATTTGAGTATCATCAGCATACATGCCAGGAGTTGTGCTTTTCAGACATTCTGGCAAATCATTTATATATAGTAAAAACATGAGGGGTCCCAAGATAGATCCCTGTGGAACTCCGCATACAATTTCCTTAGCCAACGATGTGTGGCCATCGACAACACAAACTTGGCTTCGTTTCGTCAAATAGGATTGGAACCATTTTAGCTCAAAATCTTGAACACCAAACTGGTCGTGCATCTTCCTTAATAGGATTTTATGATCAATAGAGTCAAAGGCTTTCCTAATATCAACTGAAATTAATCCGGTTATTTCTCCATTATCCATATTTTCAAACCAATTTTCACTCATTTCTATTAATAAGGACAGTGTCGAATGTTTGGGGCGGGAAGCCCGATTGAAAACGTGAAAGTAGAGAATTGTCTATCAGATATTGATAGAGTTGTCCAAATACTTCTTTCTCAAATAATTTGCTGATAATGGGAAGAATAGATATCGGGCGATAGTTTTCACATTTCGTTCTATCTTCTGTTTTATAAACAGGTATTACCCTAGCTCTTTTGCAATCATCAACATATATCCCAGTAGAAATTGAGAGATTAAATATATAGGTCAAGGATGGAGCAATAATAACGCAAGATAATTTCAGCATTTTGGCTGGTATTCCATCAGCCCCGGTAGCCTTGGATACTTTTAGATTTTTCAGGTTTTTTAGAATATTGGTTTCAGTAATTGTATGGAAATAAAATTTTGAATTTACACCAGTTGAATTACAATGCAAGTCTTCATAATCCGAAAGACGTTCACATTCAGCAGCGAGTGTTGGGCCAATATTAACAAAATAGTCGTTTAAGTGTTCAGATATTTGTTTACGATCATTATATATTACCATTAATATTAATTTCTGCAATATTAGATTATTTCCCACCTTTGCCCAATAGGGTGTTTATCAGTGACCCATGTTTTTTTCATGTCTTTAGCTAGGGAAAATTCCTTAATTCTTGTTTGATAATACACAGTTTTGGCCCTTTTCAATTCCGAGTTAACTTTATTTCTCTCCAATTTATATTTATCCCAGTGAACCTGGGAATTATATTTCTTTGCTCTCTTTTTATGATAGTCTCTGGATCTTATTAGTTTTTTAATGTTGGAATTTATCCAGGGAACAGAATTGTGCTTAATGCTTTTATAAATTAAGGGTGCATGTCTGTCAAGAGATTCCACAAAAAAGATTTCCAGACATGCCAATTATCGTTCGGGTTCATATACTGTGTAGCTAAATACCAAGGTATTCTGGACAGTTCCTCAATAAAATCAGTTTCATTAAATCTTTTGAAATTCCTAACTTTGGAACGGGTTTGCCTATATTTAGGCATGGTCACTTTTTTCACCGCATAAATTAAACTGTGATCTGACATTCCCAAGTCAATAACACCACTATTGGAAATGTTATTGGGTTGATTGGTGAACACTAGATCAATTAAAGATGATGATGTGCTTGTGACTCTAGTCGGCTCCTTGATCAATTGCTCTAAGTTATATAATGTGCTCAGAAATATTAACTTTTTGGTACTGGAGTCTTTTGGTGACTTACTCATATTACAATTTATGTCACCAATAACAATCAACTCCTTACTTTCAGCATCACATTTACTAAGAAATATTTCAAAGAAATCAAATGATTTCATCTCAGAGTTGGGCGGTCTGTACCATGCATTAATGAGAAATGGCCTACTTCGTGGTTTACAAATCTCAATACAAATCATTTCAAGCCGATCATCTGAATTTAAATCCTTCCGCACATAGAAGGAATATATCTCTCGAATATAAACAACCACTCCACCCCCAAATCTTTTGCGATCTTTTCGAATCATATTATATCCTGGGATACTTATTTCACTATCTTTTACTGAATTATCAATTTTAGATTCGTTTATAGCAAAAACGTCAATTTCAGAATCGATAACATCAGTCGAAGTTCATCAACATGTCTTAAGAGACTATTAATATTTAAGCTTGCTATTTTCAGCCCCCTTAGTTTTTTAATTTTATGCAAATAAGAATCTTTTTTACCTTCAGAGTCAGCATATGGAGTCAGGCATCCTATTGTTTATCGATGAGTTCGCTTCTTTGACGTCTGGGGCATGATCATCCATAACAGCTCTCCCAGTTGTCGAAGTTCCTTCGGAAAACCCCCAGCACTTGATCGTGAGCTAGTTCCTCTAATAAATTTGATGAAGTGAACAGCCAGTAGCGCCGAACCTTTCGCATTAAGATGTAACTTGGACCCATTAAGGCAAGTCACATCTATGTTCCCATTTTCAATATAGGTATAGCCCTCTTTTGAGCATAGATCCTTTAATAACTCATTCGTTTCTTGCGTCTTTAATGTTACATCAATATCCTCTCTCGTTATAAGGCTGGATATCGCGATTCTATATTATCTAAGCATTCTTTGCTAGAGTCGGTGATTATGTTGTTAGTACCAGCGTGTATGATTACTTCTGTGGGAGGAGAGTGGACATGGGCCGATTGAAACTCGTTTGCAATTTCCTCTGCTCTCTTACCTGGATATGTTAACTTACGAACTGAGCTTTTTAAAAGTTTGTGTGGATTTATATCTTTAATCGTTGAATTACCAATTAGCAAGATGTTAGGTTTCAATTTGCCATCTTTAAATTTTCCACCTTCATGAATTGGGGTTTTTCCATCTTTAGATATTGTATAGTTGTGTCTCGTACCGTGTCTTTATGTTGTCTAGCCTCTGATTGATCCGTTAAGAAAGCCGGCTCTGATGCAGATTTGTGTACATCTTCTTCCTGGCCACTAACGCTGAGAACTTCGAACTGGTTCTTTGACTCATGTGATATAGTTGTATCTGGTGCTATGGATACATTTTCGCTACGTTTTTTAACTTTTGCGAATTCCCGCTTTTTCTGTTGCTCTTATCAAGGTTTTCTTGTAGCGTTCTTGCGGCAGCTCTTAGATTCTTGTTCTCAGATTCCAGGTCTTCAATTTTCTTTTTTTCTGCTGGTAATACTGATTCTCGCTGAATTAGCTTCAGGGCAGTTATGAGACTCAATTTTTCGTCTTGAAGTTGTATAACCTTAGCTCTTACTTAAGACAGAGAGTGAAATAAGTTCTTGCTTTTCTCCTTTAATTCCTCATTCTCTCTGTTAAGTTCATACTTTTCCTTCTTAAGGTCATTAACAGTTTCTTCAAGTATCAGTATACCGTAAGCAGCATTTTCTTTGTTCTCCTTTATCGTTGAAATTTCTTCCGCTAGAGCATCTAGCTTTCTAGTAACATTTTGTGAATAATTTTCCAACTTAGAGTTTATTTCATAAAATTCTGGGGATTTATTGTAGTTTGTGTCGTTTGTGTTGGTTGAGTAACTTTGACAATTTGTCCGAGTCATTTCATTGTTCACGCTACAGTTTCGTGACCTCGAATGCAAATTTCTATCTGTTGACTCCAAAATATTTGCAACTTTTGGACTCTCCGAGTATACTTTGACTTCACCGCTCAATTTGCGGTCGAAATTTAATAGTTTTTCTTTTATTTCGTCGGCCTTTTCACCCTTCACCGTCAAAGTTTTACTATTCGAATACCAACGTATCGAGACTTCCCCATTTTCGAACAGTTTACAGTAACCTCCCGGGCTTGTCCACCCTTTACTAGATTGTAGTTGTAGTCGGTCAACAGCTAGACGAAGCTCTTCGAAATTCTTTTGCCATTTCAAATTGCCATTGGCTATCATTAAAATGCTGCTCTCAATTAGTTCGCTATCACATTCACTTGATGGCTTCTCGTGACTTTAACAAGCGAATTGTTCTGGTTGAATTCGGATTCAGTTAGGTTTAGATCTCCCTCTATGCTGTTTAATTCTTCTGTAGATCTGCTAATTTCGTCTCGATTACCGTTCGATTCTGATTCGTTTCGATTCTGTGTTATTGATTTAGACATTTTATTGCCGTATCAATACTTATTAGCAAAAAATTTAAGAGTATACAGAGCACCAAATGTACGTCCTGCCTGATGAGCGTCCTGTGAACCTACGAAACTTTCTACATGAGAGCGCTTGAATACATTTTACTTCCATGGCCTTTGAGAGAATAACGAAAAGTTTAGAAGATATTATAAGTTTTTTTCTCCAAATGAAATTCAGAATGTATGGCAAGGGTGAGTAAATGTATGATTGTTATGGAGTTTGTGTAATGTTTAAACGGCATCTGACCCTCCGTTTAAACGGGTATTTTGTGAGAATTTCAATGGTGGTTTTCGTTTACTGTAAAAGGGGGTAAATACTCGCCGAGATATTTACATTATAGAAACAATTGAATCATAATACTGTAATTGCGATATATGTCGAGAAAGAGTTGTTAAATATTTATCACTTATTTACCGAGACCGAGGGAAACAGTGTGTTTTGTGGACCCGAGACCGCCGTTGGGGCCACAAAACACACTACTTTCCTGAGGTCTCAGTAAATAAGTGTTTTGTTATATAGTATATAAGTGTCAAAGCATGAATAATTCACCGGTTATTGGAGTGAACTTAATTTGAAACCAAAACGGGATAAATGGTACGCCGTAAATGTTTAGTAAAAAGTTTAAAAAATGAACTTTGGAATTTCATGGTTGACACGCATGCGTATTGCACCTATTTTATTATTGACCGGTCAATAAAGGTTTCATTGCGGACCAGTTGCCGAACATGACGTTTTGTGGACCGGCACGTGACACGGTTTTGACCAATCGGCAAACAGAAAAATTGAACTTTGACACTAACTATATAACAAGTGTATTTCGTCCCGATTGAACAAGAAAAACAGTCATCAACTTCGGCCATGCTTGCTCTAGCTGTATATACGCCTATCTGCGCATGTCATTTTGCATGAAACTGCGGAGTTATGGGTAATAATGCTTTAACATAATTTATGCATTAGATTCGACTCATGTAAAATGCGGCATTTAAATCAACAATCGACTTTTAGTCGAATATTCGACTGAGTCGAAAAATCAAAATAGAAACATTTTTGTTCAGTTGGCCAGCTTGATAGCAGGGCCGTACACAGCGGCGGGGCAGGGTGGGAACTGCCCTCCCTAGAGAAAACTATATTTACGCTTTTTAGAATGACATTAATTATTCTTTGGATATTTGGGCTTTTTTCGGCATGTGTATATATAGGCCCCTCTTGTGAAAAACGTCCTGCGCACGGCCCTGCTTGATAGTAAATTGGTTGCTTGTACAAGTTGTTAATGCTTATACATGGGGCTGGAACCTGCATTAACCTCCGTCTGACTGGCAGGGTATCACGCTAGCAATCTTGGAGGTTATGGTTAAAGCCCAATTTGAGGCTCAGAATTCTTCTTGACAGTTAACAGCTTGAGAAGACAGACTACTAATTATAATGAGTGTTTTCCTTTAGACATTTTTTCCAGTCTTGTTTATGTTGCCAACCTGGTACTACATTGAGATTATTACATTTATTAAAATGCTATTAAACATTACATGGTCATGGAACTTTATTTCACAATACAAATGATATAGATAAAAAGTCGAGACAAAAACGGTGTCCAATATTCCAATAACAAGTTTTTGTTTGTTGCAGTTCGTCGTCAGTCTTTCACTTGCTTTGACCATTCGTGTGATTTTCAGTACTTTTATTGCAAAAGGAATATCGTTTCTTGAAGACCTTGCATGGCATGAGGAGTAATAAACACTGGCACTGCTTATTGCTGTTCAACTCAATAATTCCATCTCTTAACTGACTTTCAGCCTTCGTCTCTGCTTATTTTAACTTATTTGCTGATATAACGGATACGAACTCATCTACTAAATGACAGAGCACAGCTTTAATACAACGTACATCAAAATTGCGTCCACCGTGACCGTGCATTTTAATAAAAAGAACCACCACCAAGCACAAACGGTGTTTCACCTGATCGCTTTTGCACCCATGTCACCAATTCTCAACTCGGTATTACCAATTTCTCAATTGAGAAATGTCGGTATTATTGAGGCTGGATGACCCTCACTCCAGGTTGGGGAATATCAATATCGTTTCACTGACTTTGTTAATATTTTTTACTCGGAAATTTCAATGTAATTTATTTCATTCGTCCAAGGAATCAATTATGACATCCTCAATATCTTCGTAGCCTTTTGCAAGAAGCCAAAACTACAAATATGTTGTTTTTCGATACAGGAATTGTTTGTACGTAGTTTTAGTTATTGTCCCATGTTGGTTAATTTACCGATGATTTTCAGGAAACACAGCGTTCATGCTGTATAGGAGCTTATTTGTTTAATGCACATATAATGTGTGCACGCAGGTGCGATTTTATGTCAGTTTCTTTGCATGGTTATACCTTTGCGTTGCCAGCCGCGCATCTGCAAAATTTTTGTATGGGATTTCTAAGCAGTGTACTGCCTAATAACACGTTCAATTGGAGCTCTACAAATCGGGCACCTAGCTCCTGTTCTCTGGAGTTCTTGAGCACATGTTGTACAGCAACACACATGACCCGTACCACCATGAACAATGGTTGCATCCTTGGGTCTCTCAAGACATATTACGCAGGTCTCCACAGATTCCGGAGGTCCTGGACGGCCTTCACGCCAGTCAAACTCTTCTTCTGGAGAGGTGACTGGATTTCCTCTCTCTGTAGTTGGATTGTGGCCTCTAGCTCCTGACGAACATGCGAAACAAATCATAGTTTAGTACATTTTAAAAATTTGGCGGTTCAGCGTCGCCCACGGTATAATATAAACAAATTTTGGTATGTTGCGTCAGTTTAATACCACATCTTCACTGAGGCAGGCTGTAAGGACTAAGAATACTGTAAGCGAACTGCCGAATATTTGATCCTTAATTTAAAGTGGAAACAACTTTTGGTGTCGGATCAGGTCAGCTTGCCACATTCTCGTACCCAGAGTCCGTCTTATTTGCGGTCAACAGAGCAGACGTGGGTCGTTGCCCCGCAAACTGCAAGATCAACATTTAGCTTCTGAACGAGAACAAAATGCCAAGTGTGCCGCTAGAGGGGTCCATTGGTATTGAATTTTTTCCCACAGTAAAATGTTTAAAAAGCGAACGTTTAATTGTTTAATGTTTAATGTTTAATGTTTATAGTATAACTTTTCACTGCGGAGTGCTTAGATAGCTAACTTTTTCATGATTTTTGGAGTTATACTTAGCTCCAAATGATTTTTGGAGTTAGCCAGTAACTCCAGGCTTAGATACATAGCTCCTAAATGATTTTTGGAGTTATACCAACTCATATGTCAGCCCAGTTAGTTTTGAATTAATCAAGTGTATATTTTGGTATGGAGTTAAACCTTTACTTAGACTTTCAAACACTCATTAATAATTCATAAGCTTATTGACAAATCATGTCAACCATAATATGTCACCTGCGGTGAAACGGCTATAGGCGCGCCGACGATGTGTGATGCAATGAACTGGTAACGAGTTTGTTGTGGTTACTATGGCGACGTTGTCTTATGGCAAGGATAAATATGGCGGGAAAACTGAGCTGGAAGTTTTGACTGTTTTGTAGTCAAGTTTTGATGAAGAAATAGATATTGGGGGTAAAATTCCGATGTTATACGATAATTTAGTTGTTTCTGCTATTGTATTTTAAGGTAATACTGCCAATGTTTTAGAGTTTTTGCTCAAAACGCTTGCGAAAGCTTACGAACGGTTGCTTTCGCAAGAAGCATGACGTGAAAGGTTTTTAAAACTCTTCGTACGTACACGTATCGTTCACGTTCGATAGAATACAATTCATAATTAATTTTAGCCACTAGTTTATCTTTTCAGTTGAAAATCAAGAAATGCTCAACTTGAATTTGTATTTTTTTAACGAATCCTTACGAGAAGTTGTCTTGTCCAGCCGGTCAAAAAAAATCAAAGTTAGGACGAAACTCAGTTTTCGACTATTGCGCTCAACAAACATCCGAGGGGAGTTAGGTAACATCGAGTTGGGCTTCGAGTTGGACTTCGGGTTGGACTTCGAGTTAAACTTCGAGTTGGATATTTTTCTTTACTTTTCGGGAAAATGACAATTGTATTTCACCCAACCTTTTTGCTGCGGAGCGAGCGAGCCTGAAGCAAATTTACACATATGGGGGAATTTTATCTTAAACCATTGTTTACCGCAACTGTAGGCCTACATTGTGGTCGTGCGTGATTGGAAATGCTCAGTAATCTTTTTGTCGGTTGTGCTTCCACAACACCTTGTGGTAATTTTGAGTTACAGATTACAGTTACAGATATTGCACCCCGCACACTCCCTATATCAGGGTTTTTCAGTGACTGGTTATATTAGGACCGGAACTGGCGTGAAGCAGACCGAGGTAGCAGCCGCTCAATTAGTCCATACCTCATTAATGATCTGCCTCCTGACCTGACATGGTTTCCGCACATTTTTTAAATGTTGTAATAAATCTTTTTACAGAGATACCTTTTTCATATCATGTATATCATTGTTTGTATTCTTAATTCGAAACAAAAGCACTCCTACCCTAATTTATTATATAGTAGACAGTGAGACACCAAAAAATACACAGTGAGATATTTTCCATAACTAGATCTCCACTAGTGAAGATATCGACTAAGTGTTCATTTTCTTTGTTATTTTTACTGACGACTAGATAATAAAAAGAACATTAAATACACGGTGGCTTGAAGTTTCATATCTTATTATTATTTTATCTTCTCGTGGTGAAAACTGAAAACAATATTTTTACTCACTCAAACGTAAAATTTATATCTTCGCACCGCCTTTAGCTGCGATAGCAGCCTGACTCAGCCGCCCCCCCCCCCTCTCCTCTCCCACTGGAGCTGCGGAGAAACAGCAGACTAATCTCAGAGGCAGCGCCTTCTCGTACCCAGAGCCCTTCTTACGCGCGGTCAACGGAGCACGTCAAGGGGCTCTGGCCAAATCCATATCAAACTGGCATCTGATAGGCTACAACGAAGGTTATTGTTCTAATACCGGATATCTCTGACCGGATATATTCTATTACCATGTTTTTATGATATCCGGTTATGGATTTGGCCAGAGCCCCTCGTCGCACCGCGCGTAAGAAGGGCTCTGGGTACGAGAATGAGGCAGTGCTGATCAGTCTGCTGTCGCATACTACACCCTGTCTCCGTACCCAGGCGTTTCTTTGTAAAAAACAGCGATGCGCATATGAGTTCACATGAAGTATTGTAGTACTACACCGCCGTCTAACATCCTCTATATAGTACTCTCTCCTTGACCTTTCAAGACTAATAATGCAACATATCCTCACACGTAGTATTAGGGAGGCTGGACGCGCAGGAGCGGGAATATTAAAAAAAGGTAGTCATTTTTAGATTAGGATTAGATTAGAGCCAGATTAAGATTAAACCAGGGTTAGGGTTAGAGGTTAGAGTGGGGGTTGGGTGGGGGGTTAGGGTTCAACTTAATATAACGCATATCCTTAATCTTTAGCAAATTTTACAATTAAGGACAATCCCTAATACTACGTGTGAGGATATGCAGAATAGTACTGATAGTTTCAAATACATATTTCGAACGAAACAATATATACTTAAAATGTACAAATTTTAATATATTCTTTTCCAAAATATACACATAGTAATTACTGTATAAGATGTACAACAAAGTGCATTATAAAAACGATTTATAATAAAGTAAATTTACATTGCTACGTTTCATTCTCCATATTTATAAACGTAATAACACGTGTTTGAAGTTGCGAAGAAGTAAACATGAATCGGAGTTGTTCGGAAATTACCAGAACATTCGGAAACGCCAGTGTATAAGTAACTCGAAGTTTAACTCGAACTCGAATCCAACTCGATATTTCGGGATTCCCACGTCCGAGCGAGTCGTATTTTGATTCAAAGGCCAAGAAGTAAAATATGTTTACGGCTCAAAATTACTTTAATTGAATGCCTTAAAAGTCGTACAAAATTATTAACATAATAACAAAAAATCATGACATGGCCAAAATACAATTGTTGTTTATTTTTTTGCAGCGAAATAATGGTCTAACGGGGCATATATTAACACACAAAAATACCTCGCTTTCCAACGCTGTATATTCAATTGCTCAACTCCGAATCTTCAAATTCGTTTGGAGATAAGCACATAATTATAATCTTTACCATCAACTGAATTTCGAAGTTTGGACGACTTGATAACATGCCCAAATGCTGTTTTGAAAATTTCCCTTCATTGAAGTCATCAAAAGCCCGACTCATTTTCCTCAATATTTCTTTCAAAATTCAACTATATAGGCCAAACAAGCATTCGTACGATACACTAGTTACTACTTCGTCGTTACAGTGTAAAAACATCCTCAAGTTTTCGTGAGGTTTGACTAGGGATGGGCCGATATCGATACCAAATACTCGACACTATCGATACCAGGGTTTTGAAGAAAAGTATCGATACTGGCAAGAAATATCGATGTTTCGATATTTCTGCGCCTGCGCTATTTTTTCATTTTGGTCCGCGGCATCATCATGAAAATGATACCAAAAACCCAACAAAAAGCCTAAATAGGCGTAAATACTAGAAAAATAGTTCATTTTCTATGGTGCTATAATGGTCCACGGGCAGGATGGGAGTTTCTGGTTATGTTGGTTGCAATCACTGACATATATTATTCAATGTTTATATTGTTAGCGTTGTTGCCGTTGTTAATGATTAAAAATAGTCTTTTTGTTGTTATGGTTCTTCGAGTTGGGAAAATATCGATATCGGTATCGATATCGAAAAAAACCGGCAAATATCGAGGAAATATCGTATCGAATGAAAAAGCTGGTATCGCCCATCCCTAGGTTTGACCTCTCGAGGCCTTGTGGAAAATATCTATCGTGTTTGATATTTTTCGCCTCGCGAGGAAACAATCTCAGTGTCTGCGGATGTTGTTAGCTAAGTGCTGAGCTGTTTGAATCAATTAGCCAATGACAAACCATAGTTTCTTCATGTAACTAGGAACAAAATGGAGGAAAATGCAAATGATCTTGTCAATTATATGTATGGAAAGCCATAGCTGTCTTAAGTGATCAAACGACATTTTGTTGGGTGCTTTCACCATTATACGCGGTGGTTCGAGCATTATACGCGGTGGTTCGAGCATTATACGCGGTGCTTTCGTCATTATACGCGGTGCTTTCATCATTATACGCGGTGTTTTCGTCATTATACGCGGTGCTTTCGTCATTATACGCGGTGCTTTCGTCATTATACGCGGTGCTTTCATCATTATACGCGGTGCTTTCGTCATTATAAGCGGTGCTTTCGTCATTATACGCGGTGCTTTCGTCATTATACGCGGTGCTTTCGTCATTATACGCGGTGCTTTCGTCATTATACGCGGTGGTTCGAGCATTATACGCGGTGCTTTCACCATTATACGCGGTGGTTCGAGCATTATATGCGGTGCTTTCATCATTATACTAATTTGCATCATTATGTGGTTGTGAGCCAGTATGTTTTGGACAGCGGTTAATATTTATTTTGTTATCAGTCCACAGGTGGCCCAAACTCTGAATGGTCTATATATTTTGAATATTTACACGGAATATTTATACGTTATTATATTTAACGAAATAATTTTAAAAATATCAACAATTTATGTAAAATATATATCTAACTTGTTAATAGATGCATTTGTTGTGCTTCGATGCGATTGCTTTGGTTTTTTTTCGTACTTGAACGGTTGTCAATACTGACACTAAACGACACAGCGTTATACAGCTGCATAACAAACTCTCGATCGCCCGTTTTTTCTTACCTGTCGTAACGAAAGACGCTCTATATAAACGCTATAGTTATACCACATTCCTTAGTAATTACAACCATGGCCCAACGATGGCCCAATTTGGTTAGACACGTTATACTTTACATTTATTTTACAATAGTCATACACATATATTGCTATTTTTATGTTTATTCACTCTGTGATCCAAATCGGTTTCTGTATTCTATCCTTCTGCATGTGCCAAATAATAATAACTACAATAATAATGACTTTATTTACGGATTCACCCACGGTGCTATTTCACAATAAAGTTAAAAATATTTACAAAATGAGAAGTGATCTTCCAATAGGCCGTGCACATACATATTTACAAAAGTATTACTTACTAAATATAGCAAAAAATGAGAGTTAAAAAGTATCACACTAAATTATTTGCCATTTGGTACAAAATTTCTTTTAAGTGATATATATGAATCAAAGCTTTTTAAATTAGTCGGTAATTTGTTCCAAGCCACAGCACCTCTATATGAAAATGATTTTTTTCAAAAGTTCGTATTTGGTTACGGGGGTACAAAATTAAATTCGGCCTGTCTAGTTTCATACAAACCATGAGATGAAGTTGTTTTGGTAAATAGATCGACTAGATAGTCAGGTACCTCATTGTTATTAACTTTATACATTATCTTACATAATTGATTGTGACTTCTTACATTTAAATTTGGCAACTCTAACTCATTAAGTATGTCTATACTGATCTATTGTATCCCTGCTGACGAGATGAAGGACGACTGAAACGCCGCGTAAAGGGATACTGAATTTTACACACATCACATGACTATTTCTTTCTCTCGCTTTATATATTTTACATGCCTCCATACAAGCTTTTTAGTACAGCGCGATCATACCTTTTGGGCAGATAAAATGTTTTTTACACCACAGGATATATTTTACCGTTACAATTTTACAATCACACATGCATCTCCAATTTTATGTTTCATAAATTTACACCTGTACTTATATTTCTTAGGTTCACATTTATACAAATACAAGTCGTTTTTTCCTCAGTTTTATCACAACATAATTTTCACAGGTATACATTGTGCCAACAACACGAGGATCGAAGTATTTCGTCCATGACAAAAAATATAACACTAAATAGCACTCCCCCTCAAAGAACTCTAAATATATTGCGAAACTGAATTTGCCGTCGCAAAACATGTAAATGTTAACATGTGATCGAAGTATCAATATATGTTCGAGACATGAAGTATAAAATATTATTCTTTTTAGGCCGCTGTCCAAATATACTGGCTCACTACCACATAATGATGCTCACTACCAGCCTAGACCTAGGCCTTCTATTTTTTATTATTTTTTTTAATATTCAGCGCTTTTTCACATGAAAAGACTAGGACTAGATGATTTGGGGGCGGGGCGGAGGATGCGCAAGCGA